ACTACCATTCTGCAATATTCTCGTGACTTTGACAATGTTTGCTTTGGATGTTTCATTGGCATTTAGACATGCTCAATTTCCCCAAACCAAATTGAAAACGTTATACTAACTTTTGCCCGTCAGTTTAGATGTCAATGCGGACAAAAAGTGCTTTAGTGTCACTTGTATCAGCTGATAGATCAATTATCGATTATTTATGACCTCAGGCAGATCCATTGTTTTGCAAACGAACTGTTTTCGAAATGATGGAAAGGTTTTACAACTGTCATTCAAATGAAGGCACGGGTGGGGTGGGAGGGGTTAACCCCTAAAACTTGTCTATGCATCAACCTGATTATCTCAGTCGCATTCCGTGTCTAAGTTTAGGATAACCTATTGTATGGCAGTTAGCTGGTTTAGGTGAAACAATGTGAATGCCATGTGCACGTTTTGTGATATTGTAATGTGACATGAACTTCCGAGTGTGGTATTATCTGTTTTATGTTTTGCTTTTGTATAAAGTATATGTGTTTATTTCAGTTTTCGTTTCGCCACGCTCCAATATGAGGTACTCCATAATGTTATTGATGTCGTATGCTGGGACAAGACTGTACGTATATGGAGACAGCCATATGCCTGTGCTTATAGAACTGTATTGATCTGTTATCATTGTTATCAGGTTACTCGATTGTTTGTTGTTTATTGCTGAAGTTAGTCATGTGATTAGTCTGCCTCGCTTTCCTCGTTTCCGTCAAGTGGTAGTATTGATGTTTATGACCAACGAGCGAAAGTGCAACGTTTTCATTGTTGCCATTCTCTGGTGATTCCAAGAGAATGGCAACACTAGTAATATACCAAATACCACAGAGAACCACGGAGAGTCAGGGCCCCGTTCCACAAAGCGATTCTAGCGCTAAGGTGATCGTAACTCCCATACCCTAACATAGACTTACGGCAGTCGTAGCGCTACGATCGCTTTGTGAAACGGGGCCCTTGAATGGACCTCTCCACTATGACGTCAGGTCACATCATAACCAAAATATGTGTAGGTATTAGTATTGTTGTTGCTACTAACATTGCTTGCAGATACTTGATTTTACATGGTTTATATATCATCTTATAGAATATTTATAGATAACGATCTACCTCCTTTAAGGTTTTATTATTTAACAGGATTTACTGTATCTCTCTGGAGACTGGTGGTTGTTCGACAGTTGACCCGAATATGAACATTAACTAATACTTCACCATGTTACTATAAAAATTATTGTATGAATAAAATGCAGTCTTACGTTCAATTTAAATAAAACAATTAATAATAAAGGTTTTAATGAACAATGCATTATCTTAAGATGGGTCGGTTCGCTCAGGGTTCAGCCGAATAGACCTCCAATGTTCATGTCCATGGAGAGAAATATCAGATTTGATTTTCATGAGATTGTTTGGATTGGTAGGTTTGTTGTTTAACGTCGTACTCAGCAATATTCCAGCTATATGGCAGTGGTCTGTAAATAAGCTAGTCTGTGAATTCTTCGCTGCCCGCCAGCTGAACGAGAGCCCTCTTCTCCCATCCCCTCGCGTTTGTACATTCGCACTGCCTGAAGATCTTGGCCTATTCGTCTTGCGTTTCGAACTGGCAAGCTGTTAGTCATTCAGGGGCGTAGCTACCATTATAAACAATAGCCCGGGCTTACACATGATTGCTGCTAAAAAGGTTGGACAAGCCCTCAATGCTATGAAAATAAAACGCTTTGCAATCTATCGGGCTTACACGAAAATATTGGCGTTCTACGCGCCTGGTCTTGACTTGAAAACCGAGCGAGCCAGTATCTTCCGTGTCTGTCTTCAGCGCTAAACGGATGGATAGAAAACAAAGAACAGAACTTTGTTGCCTAACGCGAAGTTATTAATAAGGGTATGCCATGAACGGTGATAGATCAATGGATTTGTGTACACAACAGCTGTCGTGGTTGCCAGTGAGTGGTTTTCTGACGATCTCACGGGATTGTTACAGAGATTCTATGTCCGCTTTCTGACATTTTTAGGAAATACATATTGTAAAGCGCTACGCTTTTCAAAACAATATATTATGATATTACTAATCCCATTAAATTTTTATCATTTAGGCCTACATTTCACATTTCTATAGATATTTTATAATATGTTTACAATTTAATAGCATATTCCATAACGTAAATCCCATTTATGATTCTTAAACCTTATTCTGAAATATAGTTTTGGGAATATATTCCCCATCAAAAGTTTAGATTCGCTAGTGTAAATGTAGCCACTTACTTCAGTCAACTGTTCTGAACTAGATTTTGTAAAATAATTCATACAGCTTAAAGGTACTGTTTACACATAAACTGATGGATTGTAAAAGAAATTCGTGACGTTGAAACGTTTATTGTCATGTGTTCAATAAATGACGAAACTCGGTGACAAATGGCGACTTTTATCAAAACTTTACACCAAAACGCAGCTGTTCACATGAGGGCGACGCAAAACAACAAACTAATAATGGAACGTAACCAAAATCATAACAAAGAAAACCGCTACAAGGTCACGTGAAAGCGATCAGCGATATACAAATATACCCACCGCAGTTATATCCCTTCAAACAACCTACGTTGTCAACATTTGATTAGCTAGAAGAATGTTACTGTCTCTTATTTAGGCATATTCGCTCTACACGGCTTTATGGTTGGGTGGAAACGATTTATGTACTGAGCTGATGGTCTCTGATTTCAGTGAGTGAGTTTAGTTTTACGCCGCACTCAGCAATATCCCAGCTATATGGCGGCAGTCTGTAAATAATCGAGTCTGGGCCAGACAGTCCAGTGATCAACAGCATGAGCATCGATCTGCGCAATTGGGAACCGATGACATGTGTCAACCAAGTCAGCGAAACTGACCACCCGATCCCGTTAGTCGCCTCTTACGACAAGCATAGTCGCCTTTTATGGCAAGCACATGGGTTGCTGCAGACCTATTCTATCCCAGATCTTCAGTATGCGATGAGGAAGTAGTGAGTTGGCGATACATTGTTAAGCGGTGTCTCGCACACTGAAGTTTTAATGAAATGGTTAAATCTTTCGTTGATGACATTACATGCTACCGAGAAATATCCACAACAATTAGAGGCAGCGGATCAACTTCGTTCTGCCGACAATTACGTAATTTAGTCAGGGTACAAGAACTTGAACTTGTAATGTGAGACCTCTAAGAGGTAGCAAGCGGCGGAACGTTTTGGAAACGGGAGCCGGATCAGGAGAGGCCTGCTGTGCCACCAACACCAGAAATCATGAAGAGAATCCACGGTATTGTGATGCAAATATCTCAGCGCCACATCACTGGTTACCTGATTTCGCAACGTTGAAAGTATCAGCTCGCTTTGTTCCCAGACTTGTAACATCAATGAGAAAAGAAAATGCGCAACCGTGAAAATGTAGCTTTGATAGTGATAATTGATTAAACAAATCGTCAGATTTAAAGTCTTTTGCGACGACCCAGGTTCATTTATACGCCCCCTTCAGTCGCTGGCTATAGTTAGCAGGCATAAACGAAAACCAATCTATGGTTAAAAACTGGGCAGTTAAGTACACATTGCACTACATGGACATACAATAACCTCCTCACATGGGGCAATAATATTATTGTACTTTTCAATACTTTACATACAGTTATGCAAAATCTTTAATTATGTACAAAATATATTGCACTGGCTCAATGTTGTTTTTTTTTAGACATACATTAAATGGATATCAAAAAGATTCTTTATGAATGAAACGATGAAATATTTACCCCATGTGGGTGGGGTGGGGTGGGACGGACGGGACGGGACGGGGGTGGGGGATGGGATGGGATGAGTGAGTGAATGAGTGAGTTTACTTTTACACCGCTTGTTAGCAATATTCTACCAGTATCACCAGGGGAACACGAGACATGAGCTTCAAACAGTGTACATAGGGAATCGAACCCGGGTCTTCGGTGTGACGAACGAAAGCTTCAACCAGTAGGGTACCACATCGCCCCTATTACAACCGATGTGAACTACTGTATCATAACCTGTAACTATGTAATGTGTATGACAAATTTGGTGTTATAAATTTGCGGCCTGGATCCATGAACGTTCTACTACACTAAATGAGAGTCACATGCTCACTAAGCGAATACCGTTTGTAAACATCCGAAGAGAAAGAGGCATTTAACAGCTGTGATTGGATGAAATGGTCTAAGATTTTGATGTATTTAAAAGCACACCTATCCAATAATTAAAACTGACTACAATTTTAAGTATTTAGTGCTGTCATTTTTATCACCATGACTTATGCTTATTGTGTGTACAGATGTTTTAAAGCAGGTGACATTTGGTGAGTTACTGGGGTTGATGTGCTCGGAAATTGGCAGGATAGCTTAGCCGGAATTTGTGTTTTTATTGTAGTTTAAAGGCCAGACTGTACCCATGTGTACATGCAGTGTGCGAAATAGTTACCAAAATTTGCTAACCAGTCGGACTAGCTATGCCTGAAAGTTACTAGCACACAAAATAATTCACTAGCCCAAAATTTGAATGTAGAAACTAGAAAACAAATTAGATTGGAATAACAAATTGTCTGCATGACTTTCATCATTAAGCTGCTAATATGATTAACATTTTTATAAGGCCATAATCTTGCATTATCTAAAAGTGTATTACAACTTAACAAATTGGAGAGAGTAATATATTTACAAAATGACCCTTGAAAATTCATTAGTCAATCGGCCAGTGACTGTGGAGATTTACTGGCCCAACTGGATTTTACTATCCACGGGCTATTTCGCACACTCCTGTACAAGGAATGGCTGTTGACAACCTCAGTGATTTTAAAAATGATATAACGTTACTGTAGAAGTATATGGGAAAACGATGGCGTTGTGTAACCTGAACGTTCAACGCAACCAGGAAACTAGTCGCTAAAGCTAGCAGCAGTTTGTCCTTTTGAGTACAGAAATAGCTCATGCTGTATTGTCAGTGACACAAGTGACGCGCCTGCGCAGCGTACCCGGGAACCAGGTTGTCAGTGACGTCACTCCCCGAGGAGAGCAGACCAGACACGCGAGGTATTGGTGGGTACAACCGAGAGGAGTACAGACGACAGGTATGTCATAAAGACCCTCTACAAGACTTAGAATGGTGTTTAGTACCAAGTGAAGCATACCTAATCTAAAACTACTACATATTTGCCTGTATCATAATTAGGCTAAGGGCGTACGCATATCTGTAGACTAACCACCCATAGATATAACCGGTAATGTCGCAATGCATGTCTCTATGAGCTGAACAAGGCTGGATAGGCTTACGAGACACAAATACCCGTGTTTGTTGCGTATGGTACCTGTTACATGTCGACACAAATTCATTGTAATTTACCCCGTGTAGCTCAGTGTACGGTTGAAGTATTCATCAAACAAGGCAATATTAAATTACACCTCCTGACCTTGTTACGCCCTACTAACAAGGAAGTATATGTTACAATCTGCGACACACAAAAAGGTGTACTCCACAACACATTGCTCGTTCAATTGAATAACCGACCTCTGCATAAACTCGCTCTATTATCCTGGGCTCGACCGTGAATGTTCGGGGCATTTACATGACAGGAAAACAATGCTCAGATATACATTTAGCAATGAGAATAACAATTCTAAACGTATCATGATAGGAACATGCCACGCAAGAAACCGAAACCGAAGCAGCCTTCAAGGGACAGCGACTTGCAAGACACAGCGTCATCTCCGCCTTCAACATCACAAGTTCAAGATGATGAAGGTAAGTCATAACTAGCCGTTTGGCTTCTGTACGACACAAAGTCACGTTAGTGAATTCTGCAGTATATTTTCAGGAACTGATATCGCCCATGTGACCCCGTGTCTTCCTGATCCAAATACACAGAACACTGATATTGAACATTCAATATTTCAAAGGAAGGTTATTGTGAAATGCCAATGATGCATGCGGATTATGTCATGAAATAACGACAGTTATAACTTTATTTACAGTTATACCGTCATAATAAATGGGGCTTCTGGTGGTAGTTCTACGCAGTAAGTAATTATTCAGTTTGACATACAAGGAGGTCCGTGGGGATCGTCTACGCCTAGCTAATCTCTACCATCTGAGTCAGCCTGAAGGATAACCCTCAGACCAGTCGAATCGTAGAAGCGAGAATGGCAGACTGATTCAGGTGCATTGTAAACATAATTCAGCAAGAACTAAACAAATATACACTTTCTAGCAAGAGGGACGGTTATCTCGTCAAAGCGCAACTCACCTAAATAAACTCAGGTACTTTACTTTAAAAATTATAGGTCGGCGACGCCTCCGTGAATGAACGAGCTGACACCGTTCAGATATCAGTAACAACAAACAAAACGTTTATCCGTACTTAAACAGTGTCGTTTACTTCCGCTTATTATTATAATTATCAATTTATATTCCTAACTATTATAATGTTACATTATATTGCTAAAGCGGCGTAAAACTAAACTCACTAGAAGTATATACAATAGCGGTACGAGATCAATTCCAAGAAAATGCTCTGTAAAGCTTTATTTATGAAATAAATATCTCTCTCCGCTAGTGTGTATACCACTGTTTGAACCCCCAGTTAACTTCCTGGTCACTATGACCGCAAACCAACACTTTCCTGATCACGTGACACTATTGTGATCACCCTATGCCGTGTTGACCTCGAGGAAACAGTTTAATGTGAATCGCCTATGAGCTCTTTGGTCTTCGTGATGAAAGCTTGTTGGGCTTGTCGTACCCCTTGTTCTATGTACTTTTTTTTCCCGGCTTCGCTGACGGCAGTCTTACGAGACTTGGACCGAACCTCTTGTTTCATTCTGTGATATTTTGCGAGTTCAGAGAGGACCAAACGAAACTCCTCCTCGGAGACTTTATTGACTGTCTGTTTACTTCAGCTAGAACCCTGTTCAGCTTTACTTCAGCTAGGACCCTGATCTCGTCGTGCTTCAATGCTTTACGATGCAGTCTGCAGGATGCAAACTTAAACACCAACCCCATCAACCCTGACACCCCAGCTGTTATTTCAATGCCCAGCACTATGGGTGCGGCCACGATGTTGGTCAACAACCCGACACCTACCACCCCTAGTCCCATGCTGGTTGTCATAAGGGCGGTATCGGCTCCGTCCATGACATTGAAAACCCTGTGGTACTCCTTGCATAACGCTGCCCGTCTGTCGCGGTCTTGTTCTAGTTGGCGTTTTATGTCCCATAACTGCCTCAAGCGGAACCCGTCTACGGTTTCCAGTGTCTTTGATACTTCTTCTACGACTGGGTACAGGCCCATCCTGTGTATATAATATATTCTATAAAATATCTTTTAATTGTGTGCTATTTAATTATTGTACAATGTATTTGAGGCTTATAAGGTTTAGATCCGTGTGCAGGGAAATAGGTGAGAGGCTAATATGTGACTCTGTGCCCACACGAACATCATAGAGGTTTACTGAGAGGACTATAGAACCCGTTAAGGGGAGCCGTTTGTATGACGATACGGCAACGTTGGACACTGTGTCTGGTGTCCAAGTGTATTGTCAACCCGGGTAAAAGTTGTAGTTCTACACTATCAGAAATTACCCCGATAAAGACTTCTATGGCGAGTGTGGAGCCTTGTTTCATAGTCATAAGACCCAATTGGGAATCGAGGCCGTCAAACCTTAAATCGTTCTTCCAGCCTGAAACTAACATGTTGCTTGTGTGATCCCATTTTAGCTGAGCACTTATACTAAACTCCGGAACGAAAACCCCGAGCAAGATACCGTTGTTCCTAATTTCGGAGACATCCCTACCTTTGTTGACAAGATATGAGGTGCGGTGAGGGTCATGTTGATCAACCATTTGGGCTCTTTAAAGTCGTCTGCCAGAGGCTCCCGCACGTACACGTCGCCTCTTAAGGACATGACGTACGAGGTGCCGTTCACGCGGGGCTGATCGAACCCCCTTGCTTGTGCCTTCTAGGTCCCCGAGTGTGATGTTGGGTCGATTATGGGCTATTGCCGCTCTCCTATACACGTTGTCTTTCAAGTGTAGGGCGTACAAGGCGTCTTCCTCGCCGGGCAGATCGAACCCCTCTGCGTCTCCTAGGTCGTTAAGCGTGACGTTGGGGCGAGGACTGATCATTGCTATATTACTATCACGAGATAGTTTCCAACTGTTTTTCTGATAACTTCTCAGGGGTGCATTTCAACCCCATGAGGTGTATGTTGTCGGGTAGGAATATCTTGGTGAGTGATATCGTGTCTTCCATGGTCACGGTGACCCCCTGCAGACTGGTGTGGGAGTCGACACCAACCCGCACGTAAACAGTCCAAACCTGGTACTGGTGTTGTTTCCCCCAGGGGAGTTTGATCCCCTTCACAACTTCGACTTTGCTAGGCGATGGTTCCCCTAGGAAGACTTGGATAACTAGCGTAGAGTTCGCCGGTAGACTCCCTAGGATGTTGACCAAGCCTTCGAATTCAGACACCTCCTGTAACCCCACCTTTTTTCGTCCCGGGTTTGCTCGACAGCATGTGGGCTGCCATACTCGAGAGTGGGCTGATGACTACACTATGCCTCTGCGTCGGGACGTAAGCCACGACCAGGGTTCCGTTGTTCACGACTTTGTTTAGGTAGTTGTCTTTGTTCTCCATGAACACGTAGGGGGAGCCGAGACTAATGTTGAGAAACCAATCGTGAGAGGGTAACAACACCCACTTGTCGTCGTCGGTGAAGACAAGCGTATATGGCTTGTTTCGAGCAACGGTTGTGCTCTCGACGTCTTCTAAGTTGAACAGTTTACCGCCGAACGATGGGTGTACCGACCATCTATCATCACCGATGCAGACTAGGTCGAGCCGAGTGTTGAGGGCCGCTCCTGATGTATTGACTATAGCACCTAGGGTTCTACCGGACTTCAACGCGTTTGTAAATGCTGTTTTTAAATTGTAAGCCGTACAGTCTACCCTCTACTCCGGGATCGTCGAACCTATGTGTGGCCCGAGGTCGGAGATCCCTACATTGATGCATCTCTTTACCCTTCCAGGTCCTTGTGCGCTAGTCATCTTATGTGCAGCATTATGCTGAGGTATCCTATATTCACAGGATTATGCTTTATATCTAACACTGATCACAAGAAAAAAAATGGTGATTTCCAAAAATTTCCAATTTGGAAAGATGATATTTCCAAAAATTTCCAAAATTGGAAAGATGATATTTCCAAGGCTTGGAAATCTTTGGAAATTTAGGAAGGATTTTACCACTACTTCTTTCAATTTCTCCTTTTCCCAAGGATCCCCGTGAGTGTATAGACTGTGTATTCGTCCTCCTAGGAGTGTATTCGTCCTATGCGATCAACTATAACCAGGGAGACTATAAGACGTTGTAGATTATTCCTGGTATAACTTCTCTCGTCTGCATCCTTGTTGTTCTAGGTGTCAAAAATTGGCATTAACTGTCATATTTGCCCTGATATGGCTAGCATTTTCCAAAATACAGTTTTAAGTGTATGGTTTACTTAATATCCACAAAAGCGCAAATAGTTTTTGACCTGTCACGGTTTGCATAAACACAAATTACATAGACCTACGTTACATCATTGATTAAATAAAAGTTTACCGAACCCACTGAATGACTGGCCATGGTTTATTACATGTCATAAAAGTGAACCCTTGCCAGGGAATAATAGGCTTATTGTAGTAGAATACATTCTTTAATGGTACCCTCTAATTAACACCTGACACAAGGGATGGACCGTTTAGGTGGTTTATCATTGCGAAATCAACAGTCAACAGACCATGAAATGTTGTTTTAAGACTGTGAGCGAATAGAGAGCAGCCCGTTTGGGTTTGTGGTCAGAGACGGTGTTATGCAGTTGGCGTATTCACGAAATATCATGAACTTAATAATAGATAATTGGTTATATTGTCCACACACAGGCGGACTGGGGCAAAAAGAACCCAAATGAATCCCTTCTTAAAAAACTTCATAGTGTAACTAATTAATTTGGTCATATACAATCAAAGGTGACTAAATGTTTAATTTTAGATAACGTTAAATAATTTCTAGAGAAACCACTACACAAGTTCATATCACAGATGATTCCAGAGACAAATAGTTTATGCGATTCTAGTTTATGAAAAGCATTAAATTCCAAACAAGCCAATCTGTTCTCTAGTGCTCGGGAATTATTACCACTTACATACCATAGTTTGAGATGTCGACTCAGGAAGCCGACCTTTCGATTCTTATAAGGCTCAGGACATTGACAAGGGGTACGCTTTAAAGTTTGGGTGTTATTTTAGCACATGGCTAATCTCATGTGACGTGTTATTACAAGCTGGTGGTTGATGGAAGTGAACACATCGCACACTGAAGCCGACCGTGTAAAAACATGATCAAAACAATCATATGGTAAACACATTTAACAAGGCACTGATCCAGAGCAATTTACGCGCACTGGTTGTTGCTTTTGTTATTGCTTTTCTCCCCTGAGTACCCGGATGATATCCCAGTACTTTCGATTGGTTCGTGACCTTTGCTGCGCAACCCGCATGCGCAATTGATCGTATAGGTGTAGATTGATCAACAAAAATAAACTCTTTTTTACTCGATAATATTTCCATCATTTTGAAAATGAAATGAAAACACTTTGAAGTTTAATCATCTGCCAGTGGTAAAAAATGTCAGGACTGAAAAAAAAACGAAGTCAATGTATGTCTATATATTTTGTCTTATAATCCTAATTATTATATTGCCATATTT